TACAGTCCTCCTCCGTACAGTCCTCTTCTGTACAGTCCTCCCCCGTACAGTCCTCCCCCGTACAGTCCTCCTCCGTACAGTCCTCCTCCGTACAGTCCTCCCCCATACAGTCCTCGGACTTTGCTCAGTTGTGTCATCGTGATCTTTGCATGTTCACCATTGCCAAGGAAATCTAATAGTTGTGAGCTGCACCCGGCCGGGGAATCGCACTTCTTATAGCGTTATTAGTTGGACATGCTGGGAGCTTTATAAATGTTCTACTGCCACTAGATGGCGCTGAGGAACATAGGAAATCTCTCTGCTCCTCAGTGCCATCTAGTGGTGGTAGTGTGTGCCAACGGCATCCAACCAGCTGTATGCTAGATGGAACATTTATATTCCAGCCACTTAAAGTGCATAATAAAGGTGAAGAGGAGATCAAAACATAAAATACCGGAAAAGGGGAAAAAAAATAAAAGCTGACCTCCGCCCTTTCCTTCAGTCTTCTATCTGACCTCCTTCCTTCCCTTCAGTCTTCTATCTGACCTCCGTCCTCCCCTTCAGTCTTCTATCTGACCTCCGCCCTTCCCTTCAGTCTTCTATCTGACCTCCATCCTTCCCTTCAGTCTTCTATCTGACCTCCATCCTTCCCTTCAGTCTTCTATCTGACCTCCATCCTTCCCTTCAGTCTTCTATCTGACCTCCATCCTTCCCTTCAGTCTTCTATCTGACCTCCATCCTTCCCTTCAGTCTTCTATCTGACCTCCATCCTTCCCTTCAGTCTTCTATCTGACCTCCATCCTTCCCTTCAGTCTTCTATCTGACCTCCATCCTTCCCTTCAGTCTTCTATCTGACCTCCATCCTTCCCTTCAGTCTTCTATCTGACCTCCATCCTTCCCTTCAGTCTTCTATCTGACCTCCGCCCTTCCCTTCAGTCTCTTATCTGACCTCCGTCCTCCCTCCAGTCCTGTATCTGACCTCCGCCCTTCCCTCCAGTCTTGTATCTGACCTCCGCCCTTCCCTTCAGTCTTCTATCTGACCTCCGTCCTTCCCTTCAGTCTTCTATCTGACCTCTGTCCTCCCCTTCAGTCTTTATCTGACCCCCCATCCTCCCTTCAGTCTTCTATCTGACCTCCGTCCTTCCCTTCAGTCTTCTATCTGACCTCCGTCCTTCCCTTCAGTCTTCTATCTGACCTCCATCCTTCCCTTCAGTCTTGCACAGTTGCACCGCCTCCTCTCCTCTTCCTCCGATGTCACTGCACACTGGGAGCTTTGCACAATGTGCATTAGAAGCTGCAGCAAGTCACATAGAGCTCCGCCTCCTTTCCTGGCTGGAGGACATCCAGCATCATCTAGCGCTTTCCTCCCCAGCCTGTCACTGGCCTATCATTGAATTCCAGTTCTTCCAATCATAGAGGCTCAGCGTCACATGTGGGCGTTACCTAGGGGAGGTCTACATGCAAATACAGCCTGCTTAGGACCGCCCACTCCTCCAGACTGACACCCATCCATCAAGGCATTTTGATATTTGCATATTACAAGATGCCGGCTCAACTGCTTGCATCAGAGCTGAGGGCTCTTGAGAAAAGTACTGAGGCAGGGTGCTGTAATGTTTTCAGGAAGCTATGTATAGCACCCTGCTGGCCCCTCCCACCAGCCGTGATCTGCCTGCATTGCATAGAGGATGACTGGGTCTAAAACCCCAACACTTGTACTCGCTGCCTAGCAGATCTTTGGAAAAGAAACCACAGACAGTCCAGGAAATGTGGAGCTCTGTAGTAGGAGCGGAGCATTGGACGGATTCCAGACGCACTCCTCCAGGATTCTTGGCCCGGGCCCGCTGGCTCTGCATGCTAGTGATGGGGCCCCTACGGAGTCCAGGCAGGAAGAGGATATTATCCAGAACGCAGAAGGAAAATTGTTTAGATAACAAAGTCCTAACGACGGACGAATTCTCCTCCCGAAACGTCTCTGGTTATCATAATGATCATTTCATGGAGTGTCGGTCCTTCCTCACACGGCATCCTTTCAGGACATTCCACACACTGCGCTCAGGGGCCA